AGGATCTTACCTGGCAAATCTCTCACCTTTAAATGATCGGGGCTCTCTCCTTTAAATATGGGAGCTGGGGGCTGCTGCTGATGATGGGCTCTCTCCTTTAAGTATAGGCTCTGATGATCGGGGCTCTCTCCCTTTAAATATGGGAACTGGCTGATGAAATCTCAACCTTTAAATATGGGAGCTGGCTGATGATGGATCGGCTCTCTCCTTTAAATATGGGAGCTGGCTGATGATCAGGGCTCTCTCCTTTAAATATGGGAGCTGGCTGATGATCAGGGCTCTCTCCTTTAAATATGGGAGCTGGCTGATGATCAGGGCTCTCTCCTTTTTCAGGGCTCTCTCCTTTAAATATGGGAGCTGGCTGATGATCGGGGCTCTCTCACCTTTAAATATGGGAGCTGGCTGATGATCTTTAAATATGGGGGGCTCTCACCTTTAAATATGGGAGGGAGCTGGCTGATGATCAGGGCTCTCTCCTTTAAATATGGGAGCTGGCTGATGATCGGGGCTCTCTCCTTTAAATATGGGAGCTGGCTGATGATCAGGCTCTGATGATCTCTCTCCTTTAAATATGGGAGCTGGCTGATGATCGGGGCTCTCTCCTTTATAAATATGGGAGCTGGCTGATGATAGGAGCTCTCTCCTCCTTTAAATATGGGAGCTGGCTGATGATTGGGGGCTCTTTAAATCTCCTTTAAATATGGGAGCTGGCTGATGATAGGGCTCTCTTTTTTACGGGAGCTATGGGAGCTGGCTGATGATCGGGGCTCTCTCCTTTAACATATGGCTCTCTCCTTTAAATATGGGAGCTGGCTGATGATCGGGGCTCTCTCCTTTAAATAGGAATATGGGAGCTCTCTCCTTTAAATATGGGAGCTGGCTGATGATCGGGGCTCTCTCTCCTTTAAATATGGGAGCTGGCTGATGATCGGGGCTCTCACTTTTAAATATGGGAGCTGGCTGATGATCGGGGGCTCTCTCCTTTAAATATGGGAGCTGGCTGATGATGATGGGGGGCTGATGATCGGGGCTCTCACTTTTAAATATGGGAGCTGGATGATGATGGGAGCTGGATGATGATGATCAGGGCTCTCTCCTTTAAATATAGGAGCTGGCTGATGATCAAATATGGGAGTTGGCTGATGATCAAATATGAGAGTTGGCTGATGATCAAATATGGGAGTTGGCTGATGATCAGGGCTCTCTCCTTTAAATGTGGGAGCTGGCTGATGATCAGGGGTCTCACCTTTAAATATGGTTGCTGGCTGGTGATCGGGGCTCTCACCTTTAAATATAGGAACTGGCTGATGATAGGGGCTCTCACCTTTAAATACGGGAGCTGGATGATGATCAGGGCTCTCTCCTTTAAATATAGGAGCTGGCTGATGATCAGGGCTCTCTCCTTTAAATATGGGAGCTGGCTGATGATCAAATATGAGAGTTGGCTGATGATCAAATATGGGAGTTGGCTGATGATCAGGGCTCTCTCCTTTAAATGTGGGAGCTGGCTGATGATCAGGGGTCTCACCTTTAAATATGGGAGCTGGCTGATGATCAGGGGTCTCTCCTTTAAATATGGGAGCTGGCTGATGATCGGGGCTCTCTCCTTTAAATATGGGAGCTGGCTGATGATCGGTCCTCTCACCTTTAAATGTGGTTGCTGGCTGATGATCGGGGCTCTCTCCTTTAAATATGGGAGCTGGCTGATGATCGGTCCTCTCACCTTTAAATATGGGAGTTGGCTGATGATTGGGGCTCTCTCCTTTAAATATGGGAGCTGGCTGATGATCGGGGCTCTCTCCTTTAAATATGGGAGCTGGCTGATGATCGGGACTCTCTCCTTTAAATATGGGAGCTGGCTGATGATCGGGGCTCTCTCCCTCTTAATCCCTGTACACACGATCAAAAGATCATCTGAAAAAGTCCGCTTTCTAAGCGATCGTTCGGTCATCTGATCGTTGGTACACAGCAATCGTCTGAAATGACCCGAAGAGACGATCACCGTATTTTTCGTCGTACAATACCGAATCGTACGATTGTCCTTTAACCAGCACAGTTTTTGGCTGAAAATTCCAAAATGTTTATCCTGTCGTACGAGAATTTTCGTAACTTTAGTAAACTCTTCGCTCTCGATATGAAAACGGCAAAAAAACGGATTGACGTCCAATATTCTCAATATGGACCCGGGACTTTATACAATACTGTGCAAAAGTTTTAGGCAGGTGTGAAATATGCTGTAAATGAAGAACGCTTTCAGTTTTGTTTTGAGAAAGTAAAGTTTACTGGAAGAAGGGAGGAACAGGTTTATCTGAATTCCTTTGTTCTCCCAGAAGGCATTCACATCCGGGTGGGTTGTTATCATTTACACTCATTTAGTTTCCATAGAAGGAATTCATTCGGTTGTAACAGTGCGGTGTACATAGTTCCATAGTTAGTCTGGCTGAAAAAAGACAAAAGTCCATCCAGTTCAACCATTAACCACCTCCTGTCCGGTCCATGTATATAAACGGATGGACGGGAGCAGTGCAGGGGCGGGTGGTCGTTTATAAATGGCCTCCCCGCACCCTGCTTGTGCGCACTCCCTGGGAGTGCACGGCACCGATCGCTGTACGGGACCTCTGTGTGAGGTCCCGATCATGTGATCCCTGATTGGCCAATCAGTGATCACAGGAACAGTAGAAAGCAAGATGTCCCTTCTGACATCATTGCTTACTACTAGTGAAATTTGTGAATGATCACCAAGGTTAGTGTTGGGTAAAGGGAAGTTTGAGGTAAAGGAAAGTTGGGTAGGTAAAGGGAAGTATTTAGTGTTGTGGGGTAAAGGAAAGTTTAGTGTTGGGGTAAAGGGAAGTTTAGTGCTGCGATGGAAAGTTTAGTGGGTAAAGGAAGTTTAGTGTTGGGGTAAAGGGAAGTTTAGTGTGAGGTAAAGGGAAGGGGTAAAGGGAGGTTTAGTGTTGGGGTAAAGGGAAGGTTTAGTGTTGGGGTAAAGGGAAGTTTAGTGTGAAGTAAAGGGAAGTTTAGTGTTGGGGGGAAGTTTAGTGGGTAAAGGGAAGTTTAGTGTAAGGTAAAGGGAAGTTTAGTGTTGAGGTAAATGGAAGTTTACTGTTGGGGTAAAGGGAAGTTTAGTGTTGGGTAAAGGAAAGTTTGGTGATGGGGTGAAGGGAAGTTTAGTGTTGGGGTAAAGGGAAGTTTAGTGTTGGGGTAAAGGGAAGTTAATGTTTGGGTAAAGGAACGTTTAGTGTTGAGGTAAATGGAAGTTTACTGTTGGGTAAAGGGAAGTTTAGTGTTGAGGTAAAGGAAAGTCTAGTGATGGGGTAAAGGGAAGTTTAGTGTTGGGGTAAAGGGTGGTTTAGTGTTGGTGTAAAGGAAAGTTTAGTGTAAGGTAAAAGGAAGTTTAGTGATGGGGTAAAGGAAAGTTTAGTGTAAGCTAAAGGAAAGTTTAGTGTTGAGGTAAAGGGAAGTTAACTATTGGGGTAAAGGGAAGTTTAGTGTTGGGTAAAGAAAAGTCTAGTGATGGGGTAAAGGGAAGTTTAGTGTTGGGGTAAAGGGAAGTTTAGTGTTGGGGTAAAGGGAAGTTTAATGTTGGGATAAAGGAAGTTTAGTGTTGGGGTAAAGGAAAGTCTAGTGTTGAGGTAAAGGAAAGTTTAGTGTTGGGGTAAAGGAAAGTTTAGTGTTGGGGTAAAGGGAAGTTTAGTGTTGGGGTAAAGGAAAGTTTGGTGTTGGGGTAAAGGGAAGTTTTTAGTGTAAGGTAAAGGAAATCTTAGTGTGGGGTAAATGGAAGTTTAGTGCTCTACAAAATATATGGGGACAGTGCAATTACAATACATTTCAGTACAGAAGGAATAGGAGGGCCCGGCTCGTGGAGCTTACAATCTAGAGGAAGGGGGAGGTGATAGCTGTGGGGGATGATCTGGTGGAGGTGATTCAAGTACAGTACTTAGGTGGAGGTGGGGTCGGCTTCCCTGAATACGTGAGTTTTTAAAGATCGCCTAAAGCCAGACAGGGAGGGGGCTGACCGGACATACTGGGGTAGGGAGTCCCAGAGGATGGGAGAGGTTCTGGAGAAGTCCTGGAGGTGGGTATGGGAGGGGCTGACAAGGGAGCTAGAGAGCAGGATGTCTTGGGGGTAAAGGGAAGTCTAGTGTTGGGATACCGGTGAACGTGAGCCATCAGTGCCGTACCCATCCGGCCAATGGCAGTTCAGCCCAGTATAATGTGGATTGTGGCGTGTTGCTGCGGGCGCTGCACTTTGTACTTGGCGCTCTGCCGTTTGCATCATTCTATTTATTGGTAATCTCGGTGCTCCTTGGTGCATAAAACCTCCACCCTTCCTGCAAACAGCTTGTGTGTACCGTGGTGTGAATGTCTGCGAGCTCCTCGTACAATGAGGGGATCCCCGATCGATGAGGAAAGCTCCTCCCCCCCCAAGTAGAACGTGATTTTGGTTTTCTCCGGTTTTGTTGATATTATCTCTTATCTTTCTCCGTGACGTAACTGTCACTTCAGCCAGGATTTATGTTTTGATCCTACAAATACTTTCCAACCTTCATAAACAGGACTGTAGGGCACCTTCCATAGAAGTAACGAATCGGGTCCGACCCATTTCCTTCCCGCTCAGAGCGGCCAGGACTGGGAACGTGTCACATTTTATACATTTTTTTTTTTTAGTTCCTGATATAATTCACATTATTATTATTATTATTATTGTTAATATTTTATTCAATGTGTTTCTAAACCCAAATGTGAACATGTGTTATACTTCAGCTTACCTATTCTTAGATGTGGTAGCTGCATTAGCTTTCCCTTTTTAGGTTACCCTCCCCTCTGTATTTTCAACTGCTGATCCAGCCAGTAAGTCTGCTATTTTTCAGCATCCTTTATCAGTAAAAAAAAAAGTGGCAGTTAGAGGGTTGATGGAAACTGTATACCTCTAACAGGGGGGCTGAAATGGTCAGCTGTTTGTTTATGGAAAACGGTATCCCAAAATGAAGGAAAAGTTGCTGCATACAACTGCTTATAAAGCTGGAGCTTGGCTTTAATTTGTTAGTCAACTCCATCCAAATCTGCTAGTGTATTTAAAGTGTTACTAAACCCAGGACCCTGCGTTCACTATATCTGCTCTCCCCGGACCCCGCATTCACTATATCCGCTCTCCCCAGACCCCGCATTTCACTATATCCGCTCTCCCCGGACCCCGCATTCACTATATCCGCTCTCCCCGGACCCCGCATTCACTATATTCGCTCTCCCTGGACCCCGCATTCACTATATCCGCTCTCCCCGGACCCCGCATTCACTATATCCGCTCGTCCCGGACCCCGCATTCACTATATTCGCTCTCCCTGGACCCCGCATTCACTATATCTGCTCTCCCCGGACCCCGCATTCACTATATCCGCTCTCCCCGGACCCCGCATTCACTATATCCACTCTCCCCGGACCCCGCATTCACTATATCCACTCTCCCCGGACCCCGCATTCACTATATCCGCTCTCCCCGGACCCCGCATTCACTATATCCGCTCTCCCGGACCCCGCATTCACTATATCCGCTCTCCCCGGACCCCGCATTCACTATATCCGCTCTCCCCGGACCCCGCATTCACTATATCCGCTCTCCCCGGACCCCGCATTCACTATATCCGCTCTCCCCGGACCCCGCATTCACTATATCCGCTCTCCTCCGGACCCCGCGTTCACTATATCCGCTCGTCCCGGACCCCGCATTCACTATATTCGCTCTCCCTGGACCCCGCATTCACTATATCTGCTCTCCCCGGACCCCGCATTCACTATATCCGCTCTCCCCGGAGCCCGCATTCACTATATCCACTCTCCCCGGACCCCGCATTCACTATATCCGCTCTCCCCGGACCCCGCATTCACTATATCCGCTCTCCCCGAGACCCCGCATTCACTATATCCGTCCTCCCCGGACCCCGCATTCACTATATCCGCTCTCCCCGGACCCCGCATTCACTATATCCGCTCTCCCCGGACCACGCATTCACTATATCTGCTCTCCCCGGACCCCGCATTCACTATATCCGCTCTCCCCGGACCCCGCGTTCACTATATCTGCTCTCCCCGGACCCCGCATTCACTATATCCACTCTCCCCGGACCCCGCATTCACTATATCCGCTCTCCCCCGGACCCCGCATTCACTATATCCGGACTCCCCGGACCCTGCATTCACTATATCCGGTCTCTCCGGACCCTGCATTCACTATATCCGGTCTCCCCAGACCCCGCATTCACTATTTCCGCTCTCCCCAGACCCCGTTTTCAATATATCCGCTCTCCTCGGACCCCGCATTCACTATATCCGCTCTCCCTGGACCCCGCATTCACTATATCCGCTCTCCCCGGACCCCGCATTCACTATATCTGGTCTCCCCGGACCCTGCATTCACTATATCCGCTCTCCCCGGACCCCGCATTCACTATATCCTCTCTCCCCGGACCCCGCATTCACTATATCCGCTCTCCCCGGACCCCGCATTCACTATATCTGGTCTCCCCGGAGGAGTTTTCATTCAGGGATCCCTGGAGAAGTCACGTGTTATCGTGACGCAACATGTCGGACTAGAGCGTGGTGACGCAATTATGCACGGATGGCAGCCATCTTTGGACTGCCTCTGCAAGCACCCTGACTGTGGGTTATACAGTTCATGTCTGGTGGTTTATGACCCGATTGTAAGGTGTGAGTAGGTCTTTGGCATTTGTGTATTATGGGATAATAAACTTTACTCTATTACACTATGATGGCCTTTTCCCTGATTCCCTGTTTATGAGCCATTGGGAGAGTGGAGGAGTTTTGTAAAGGTGCCTTACCATTGTAATGGTTGATTAATCGGGGGCTGTGTGGATCCTGCGTCCATCCAGAGAGTGAGATTCATCCCAACTGGGACTAACTGGTGATTTGTTATGCCTTGTGACTCCTTGAGGGTCAGTGATTTGGTAAGCGCACGCTAGATGGTGACAGATGGTCTCATGCACTTGAGCACATATTTATTTTCACGGTCGAAGATTGATTCATCACAGTTATACGTCTGGGACTTTGTGCTGCAGTATATGATTTATGATCACATGTATTTATATTTGGTTAATATTTGTTTCACTTTATCCCCTCGCCTACCGGGGACTTCTTTACAGGACAATTTTCAGCTTTCAGCGCTGTCGCACTTTGATTGACAATTGCGCGGTCATGCAAGATTGTACCCAAATGAATTTTGTATCATTTTTTTCTCACAAATAGAGCTTTCTTTTGGTGGTATTTAATCGCCGCTGGGTGCTTTACTATTTGTGCTATAAACAAAAAAATTGCAAAAGATTTGAAAAAAAAATAAAAAATCTTCTTTGTTTCTATTATAAAATTTTTCAAACAGGTAATTTTTCTCCTTCAGTGATGTGCGTTGATGAGGCAGCACTGATGGGCACTAATAGGCGGCACTGATGGGCACTGATAGGCAGCACTAACGAGGTGGCACGGATAGGCGGCACGAATAGGTGGCACTGATAGACAGCACTGGTAGGTGGCACTGACTGGCATCACTGCTGGGCACTGACTGGCAGCACTGCTAGGCATTGACTGGCACAACCACTGGGCACTGACTGGCAGCACTGCTGGGCTGCACTGATGGGCACTGGTGGGCACAGGTGGGTGGCACTGGTGGGCCCATGTGGGTGGGCACAGGTGGGTGCACAGCTGGGCACAGGTAGGTGTCACTTCTGAGCACAGGTGGGCAGAACTGGTGGGTGGTGCCGATCCCTGCTCTGACAACTGCCGCTTCTCGGCAGTACTTTCCTTGCGCTCTGACAGCATGGAGAAAGTGCAGCCGAGAACCGGCAATTGCATTTCCCGGTGATCAGCGTGTCATTGGACACAGCTGATCACGTGGTGAAAGGCCGCTGTGATTGGCCTTTTACCACATCACGTGATCAGCTGTGTCCGTAGGAGTCCTTTATTAATTTGTTTATGTCAATTATCACACGGTATTAGCACTACACCACCTGAACTACTTATGTTTCATCCATTCTAGTATATTTGGGAAGAATATTTCTAAAATATATTTCAAATATATTTTTTCTTCCATATGGGTCCATAGAGGAGAATAGAGGTTCTGATCGGGTCTACCTGAAAGACGGGCAGAATCCAAACCAATCAAAACGTCCATGTGAAAGGGGCCTAAGTTAAAAAAATTTTAATGATTTATTTTTTTTTTAATGGAAATATCTTGGTGCTTTATATTCACTTTGGAATGAATATATTTATATCATATGTGACATATGGATCGTTTGTGTTATTATTTATGTAATCAATTACAGTGGGGATGGAAAGTTTGGGCACCCCAGCTCATAAAAATTTGTATTAATGTGCATAAAGAAGCCAAGGAAAGATGGAAAAATCTCCAAAAGGCATCAATTTACAGATTAGACATTCTTATAATATGTCAACAAAAGTTAGATTTTATTTCCATCATTTACATTTTCAAAATAACAGAAAACAAAAAATGGCGTCTGCAAAAGTTTGGGCACCCTGCAGAATTTATAGCATGCACTGCCCCCTTTGCAAAGCTGAGACCTGCCAGTGTCATGGATTGTTCTCAATCATCGTCTGGGAAGACCAGATGATTCAATCTCAAAGGTTTTACAGTCATGGCCGAAATTGTTGGCACCCTTGATATTTCTCCAGGAAATCATGTATTTCTCACGAAACGTATTGCATTAACACATGTTTTGCTATACACATGTTTATTCCCTTTGTGTGTATTGGGACAAAACAAAAAAAGGGAGGAAAGAAAGCAAATTCGACATAATGTCACACAAACCTCCAAAAATGGGCTGGACAAAAGTATTGGCACCCTTTCACAACTGCGGATAAATAAGAATGTTACAAGCATGTGATGCTCCTGTAAACTCACCTGGGGCAAGTAACAGGTGTGGGCAATATAGAAATCACACCTGAAAGCAGATAAAAAGGAGAGACGTTCACTTAACCTTTGCATTGTGTGTCTGTCTGTGCCACACTAAGCATGGACAACAGAAAGAGGAGACGAGAACTGTCTGAGGACCTGAGAACCAAAATTGTGGCAAAATATCAACAATCTCAAGGTTACAAGTCCATCTCCAGAGAACTAGATTTGCCTTTGTCCACAGTGCGCAACATTATCAAGAAGTTTGCAACCCATGGCACTGTAGCTAATCTCCCTGGTCGTGGACGGATGAGAAAATTGATGAAAATTGCAACGCAGAATAGTCCGGATGGTGGATAAGCAGCCCCAAACATGTTCCAAAGACATTCAAGCTGTCCTGCAGGCTCAGGGAGCATCAGTGTCAGCGCGAACTATCCGTCGACATTTAAATGAAATGAAACGCTATGGCAGGAGACCCAGGAGGACCCCACTGCTGACACAGAGACAAAAAAAGCAAGACTACAGTTTGCCAAAATGTACTTGAGTAAGCCAAAAGCCTTCTGGGAAAACGTCTTGTGGACAGATGAGACCAAGATAGAGCTTTTCGGTAAAGCACATCATTCTACTGTTTACCGAAAACGGAATGAGGCCTACAAAGAACAAAACACAGTACCTACGGTAAAATATGGTGGAGGTTCAATGATGTTTTGGGGTTGTTTTGCTGCCTCTGGCACTGGGTGCCTTGACTGTGTGCAAGGCATCATCATGAAATCTGAGGATTACCAAAGGATTTTGGGTCGCACTGTAGGGCCCAGTGTCAGAAAGCTGGTTTTTGCGTCCAAGATCCTGGGTCTTCCAGCAGGACAATGACCCCAAACATACGTCAAAAAGCACTCAGAAATGGATGGCAAAGAAGCGCTGGAGAGTTCTGAAGTGGCCAGCAATGAGCCCAGATCTAAATCCCATTGAACACCTGTGGAGAGATCTTAAAATTGCTGTTGGGAAAAGGTGTCCTTCCAATAAGAGAGACCTGGAGCTGTTTGCAAAGGAAGAGTGGTCCAAAATTCCCGGGTGAGAGGTGTCAGAAGCTTATTGATGGTTATAGGAAGCGACTGATTTCAGTTATGTTTTCCAAAGGGTGTGCAACCAAATATTAAGTTAAGGGTGCCAATACTTTTGTCCAGCCCATTTTTGGGGTTTTGTGTGACATTATGTCATATTTGCTTTTCTGCCTCTGTTTTATATTTGTTCCAATACATACAAAGGGAATAAACATGTGTATAGCAAAACATGTGTTAATGCAATACCTTTTTTTGTGTGAAATACTTGATTTTCAGGAAAAATATCAAGGGTGCCAACAATTTCGGCCATGACTGTAAATGCCC